CAAAGACAATAAACTATCGCGGAATAACCATATAATACCCGTTCTAGAAGCAAGTAGTACTGCAATAAATATGAATTTTTTATGGCTTATTTATTATACAACACATCAGACATGCGTACTAGCTAAAAAACTCAAACATGCGATTCGCCGATTATGCTGCTGCATGATGCAGTAACGAGGGGTTCGGCTCCTCAATGGGTTCCCCAGCGTTCTATATGCGGTTTTTGGTATATGACCTCCAGATAATAATCAAGGGAATAATAGCAGAAATTATTGAGTGCGTGACACGGAGTCAAATGACCGGGACACGACATTTTAGGATTAGGCCTGAAATTCCAATGGGCAAGATCAGAAGTAAGATGTATTGGCCGCAATACATCGCGTTGGGTCTTCATAACATGACGCTTTAAGGTTAGATCCGAACGTTCAAAAAACACTTGCGTCCAAGACAATCAACTTCTGTGCAATAGCCGGGTAATGCCCACTCTACAAAGAAGTAATATGACAGTAAGATGGCAAATATATTTTACCGCAATTCCACTATACGTACTAGTTAAAACCCAGGCACCATTGTCTCAGTTTTTCACTTCATTTGATTTTGTTGTTCATTGCGTCATTTAAACAAACTAATGTAAGGATATATATGAATATAGGCAGAAGGACATTACTGACAAGGACATGGGACACTAGAATGGCCATTTCTGCCTCATCAGACGTCATCAGTTAGTGATACCCAACTCCGGTGTTGCCGCTGAAATTGCTGCCACACCCGAGTTTTGAATTCGCGGTCTCTCCGGTCAGGGCGAACGCCCTAACCATTGAGCTACGAGCCCACAGTCTTGACGGTATTAGATCGGGGAATATATGTGCTTCGCCGATCTATTAAAGGAACAATTAAGTTCGGCTTTGCCCAGGAGCTCACAACGTGAACCCGCCAGACCGTCACATTATGACTATGATGATATGATGAAATCTCGGGGGTTCCAAACCTTGAGATTGGGTACGACTTCCACTTGAATATATTTTAAAGGCCGCTATGAGACTGTCTGTTGGGGCTCTAGGGCACGATGGGACATACGTGTTCCTTTAAAAGATCGGTGAGCCCCATACTGTCATATATATATGTTGTGATGAAATGGACCCGACAAAGCAAAGGGAGACCGGAATGGCCATTTCTGGTTTGTTAGCCGCCATTAGCCAGTCGTACCCAATCTCAAGGGTTGGAACCCCCGAGGGTTGAACCCGGAACCTTTGGTCATTGAGTTCAATACTCTACCACGGCACCACGGGCTCCTTGCTTTGTCGGTTGATATCGGGACTAGGATGGATATATGTGCTTTGCCGATCAAGTAGAGGAACAATTAAGTTCGGCTTTGCCCAGGAGCTCACAACGTGAATCCGCCAGGCCATCGCATAGTGACTATCATGATATGATGAAATGGATCCGATAAAGCAAAGGGAGACAACAATATATACTCCAAGTCGAGGGCTCTGTAGTGGCGAGCTAGCATGCGGCCCCAAATAGTTTTGCATCTCTGGAATACCTACTCATATCATTTTTGTAGGCTTCATTCAATTCCTTTTTGTTCTCGCTCATGCTCCCACGTATCCTTCCAAGTGTTTTAATTAGGGTTAACGTTAGGATTAGAGTTCGTCCTAGAATTATTAGGTTATGGGTTAGAGTTAGCGGTAGGACCAGGATTTAATGTTCAGGTAATAGAGGATAAATACACAGCAAATCGACTCATCTGACGAGAAAATGACATCAAAGGCAAATAGATGTTACTGCAAGATGTAGTTTTCATTTATTTTCGGGCAAGTAAAACCTTCCTTGGCGACAAAATATAATAATCGGCCATTGCCAAAAAGTAGAGCCCTCAGTGCTAACTTACCCCACTGTTCCAGGGTGCTCAGATGCAAGCCAAGCGGTAAAGATTCATTGGACTTCATTGCTGTTTGTTTCTAAAACACAATTATTGTTATTAGCCTTTCCAAACTTTACAAAAGCCTACCAAAGAGGGTTCACTTTTTGCCAGGGATGATCCTTTCCTGAAATAGGTAGGTGAAAATATCAGTAGGCCTACATTTGCTTTTCTTCCTGTTCCAGTGGGAAGGGCGATAGTAAGAGTGTTGCCGCGTCCCCGCCTTCTTCCGTGTCCTCCTCAGAACCGGTGTCTTTTGCACCTTCGTAAGTGATCGACTTGTCATTACCTGCAGTTAGCAGTGGCAGAGCTATCAGTTCCTCCGCTACCGCAGCTTCTTCCTCCGAGAAAACTTCCTCCTCCACCTCCTCCACTTCGGAGACATCCGATTGACTCTGTTCTGTAACTACGATACTGGGTGGGCTCGCCGAAGCAGTTTTCGCATCAGATGCAGTGATGATCTTTTTTGCCGGCTATAGGTGTAAAAACCAAATGTTTTGCGCACAATTCCTTTCAATGTGTTTAGCAAATGCAACTGCATTTCCAATGTGTCTCCTTTAAATGCAACCTCTCCCACAAGTTTACAACTAGTAATCGCGACAATGGCTGTTGATTCCTCGTGCGTGAACCATTCATGGAACAGTCAAAAATATATTTACCAAATTGGATGTATGCCCGTAAACATTAAATTAAAATAAGGCTTATGAACATACATGCTGGGCAATTCTAGCATTCTGTAGGACTTGCTTGTTGATTCAATCTAAAAAGCTAATCTGTGGTGATTCAGTTGAACTCCACGCAAAAAATTTCAATGGGTTGATCTCAGTTGACTATGTTTAAAGATCCTGGAGAGGCTGTTCGGGAGTTAGCAGGCCTTCCTGATATAGCATTGCTCCATGACTGTCCCAACTTTGAAAAAGAGCTATCACCGTAGCAGAAATACATTACGCTAAAAGGCAAGGGAGACTGTAATGACCATTTTTTTGGTTTATTAGCCGTCAACGGCCAGCAATACCCAACCTCAGGGATGGCAACTCCCGAGGTTTGACCGCTGACCT